CACAGTTTAACAATTCTAACACAATACAAACTTAAAATATCACTGCCTGTGAAATTGTGGTTTATTTAGAGAATAAAGGTTTTTTGAACTCTTCTATAAATAAATTATAACAGCAAAAGATTCATATGCACCCATATAGGGAAAGGTTACATGCTACAAGTTAAAATGAGTATTACATACTCCTGCACTTGAAAAGTTTACAGTACATGAGTACAGTATATACATTAAATAATAAAATATATAACAGTAAATCCCAAGATTGGATGTATTGAAACTAGTTATTAGCTAGTTCTTCGCAATAATGATAACACAAAGACAAATTAATAAAGTTATTAACCATTTCTGACACAAATAGTATTTGCAAAATATAGCACATATTTGATATTATAGTCAAATAGAACAGTGTACTGACAGTACGTATACTATGTATAGATTAAAACTACAGCATACAGAAAACCTGTACAACACAAAATATGAGTAAAGTTTTCACGCTCCATTTAACTGTTGTGATATTATACGCATTAAGTATACGTTTCTTTGCATTTCCTTTGTAGTATAGCACAGCTCTGAAAAACCAAAACAATATTCGTACACTCCTAAACGGCCGCCATGTTGTATGTAAAAATATACGGTTAAAAATTAATAAAATTTTTGCAAAATTGCAACATTCCATTGTATACCAGCAACCAATCATATTCATTTCTGACATGGATTATCCCAGAGCCTTCGTTTCCTTCCCAAGGATCGCAGGCTCGGGGAACGAGATTGTCACCATGATGGTTTAGTTGGTGCTTCCACATCCAAAGATAAATTTCCCTAATATTGCCTCAAATTTCCATTTTCCACAAATGTTTTCCTCTAAGTGGAAACACTTAGTAGTATGACGCATGATCCAAAAAAATTTCGGCGCCCAAAAGCTAGGTAGGGTCGGGAAACATACATCTTTTGTTTTGCCATAAGCCTCGAAAGGATGAGTGCAACAGAGGAGTTCGAAAGTATAAAAAAAATTAACAAAACATTTCAAAAGTTACAGTGCGTCTACAGTAAGTGGGGCCACTTAGAGAACACTAACCAATCGCATTGCAGAACAAAAAGAAAAATCTAATCGAACTAAAGCTTGTCCAATCAAAAGAAAAGTCTATTTTTACCATTTGACATATGTTTATTTGTTCAAATTGTTTTTGGTCTAATGCTGATTGGCTAAGGTGCTGTTTGGTGATTTTTTCAATTTTTGTTCTGCAATGTGATTGGTTAGTGATCTCTAAGTGGCCCCACTTACTGTAGACACACTGTAAGATCTAAGAATGAACAAGAAAAGACATTACCATAGCTGCCAAGGTGGAGTGATCTGCATGCGTGAGACGCCATCCACGGACGCAATCTAATGCCCCCCCCCCGGAAAATTTTAAAAATTTGGGTCTCTGATATGGAATTTCCAACGTTTCATTCCCAAGACACGATTTATTTACGACGCTAAAACATTTCACAGGTTTGCAAAGTTTACATTGCTCTCCAGATTTACGTTTTTTTTATTAAACTCTTCAATCACAAGCAGCCAAAGCAGCTCATGTGTGAGATAAATAATACTTCGCGTGTGAGAATATGCTGAGGCGTGTGTCACACGCATAATGCGTGAGACTTGGTAGGTATGCATTACATGTATAAGATGTTGTCTTGACACAGATTCTGAAAGATATCTGGACAAACGTGGGCAAAGAAGTGTTTGCTTGTTTGTTTCATCAAGACAGTTCGCTTGTTTGTTTCATCAATGGTGTGAGATTTTGTTTACTAGCAGATACGGCATTTGCTGGATGTACCGGCACTTTTCACTCTTTAGAATGTTCTAATTGAATTGCTTTATAAACCTTTTAAGTGGCAATGTGCCCTGATGAGCCTCACTTTATCTTACTCTGTCTAATGCCAGATGATTTGCTAATCAAGGTTCACACAAGAGTGCTGCCACTCAACACAGAGTGCACCCTGACAGCTCACCAGAAGCCATGCTAATAGCCTGCTGTGTAAAATCTAGATGGATATCTTTAAATCGTTCTACATTATAATAAAATACCACTTCATAGTTCATCTGTAAGATCTGTTCATACTTCTTACCGTGCACATACTTACAGTTTAAAGTTAAGAACAGCGCAAGCATTCACCAAAAGAGTTCTGTTAAATAAAATCACCATTATATTGAACTCTGAACAAGTAAAAATTCAAAAGGAACACAACAACATTCGAAAACCAGATATTATTCCATCAGAATGTTTCATTGTTCAAATACAAATGTGAATCATATTTATAATAAATTACCCAAAAATAAGAAAATCGGATATTATTGCCATCTCTAGATAATCAGAATGACTTGTAGACAATTAGTATCCACTTTTATTTGACTTCAACTACTGAAATTGCTCTTTACAACTTTATTTATGCAATTATGCTTTGACGTTGCAGTCGTCGGCCATTTTGGTATTTATCCCACAATGCATTACAGGTTTACAAATATATGACAGCACAGAATGACACTGAATATTTAATAAAAAGGGTAAGTGGTGATATCACCATTTAATCATTTTCCACAATTTATTATTTATACTATTAAATAAAGGGTGCTTGTCCAGGGCTTGGACAATGCATGGGGAATGTAAGTAGATATAGTCATATTGACTCAATTAGCCATGCTGACCAGTGTGGAAAGTTTGTATTGCGCAACTGTAGCGTGCACGACTCTGGTTTTTTACTTCACTTTATTTTGCAATTTTCATACTTTCTGTATAATATATGTACTATCATTTTTTTTAAACCTTGGGTGCGCAATTTCCAAAATTTCCAGTCAGCGCATGCAGTGGTGTCTCAGTATAAATATTAAATCATAAGCTAGCTTTCATTGATAGGGATGCAACTACCTGAAACATATAAGGAGAATTTCAACGTTTTGAGGGAAGGCCCTTTGTCAGAAGTCAGTAGCAGGGGTTGGGAAAATTACATGAACTTTTAATTTTCCCGGCCATTACTACTAATTCCCGACGAAGGGTTTTCTCCTGAAACATCGAAATTGTCCTTATATTTTCCAGGTACTGACTGTACAGCAATTTTTTGCTAATTTTAGAAGTGGGGGATGCTCTTGAAAATCAAATGGGCATGGTCACTCCATTGGGTATGGCCAGTGGCATGAATAAACAAGTGGGGTTTAGTGTAATAGACATGCTTGTCCAAATATGTCACATTTATTCTACAAAAAATATAATAATATACTTGATAATTATATATTAGACATATTACATTCTGCTCAAGAAAGCAGGCGACAAACTGATTTGTAATGTAAAAATGTCCAAAATGTTTGAGCTTTAAAGTAATTCCCCCCTCGTTCTCCTGTCATATTTAACTTTGCAAGTTAAATATGACGTATTTACGAGTAACTAAATAAGCTTAAATAATAGATATCCTTGAATCTTTCCCATTTTATCATGTTCCCACTGATCATTTTAATGTTCATTTTAATATTTGATTTCGCGATTGTGTGAAAGACTATACTATCTGTGCTTATGACAATAAGTACTTATCTAAGTAGATGTCAATTATCATACTCTAGTATTTTTGTGCTAGTCTGCTAGAATTTTCTGCAAGTATATCAAGTTTCAGGGAGATTAAAATAGTGACAAAATTACGTTCTGAAGTATTTCCATGTAGGATGCTGAGCAATTATTGCCAAAAATAACATGTATGTAGTACAAGTGATAGCCAAAATTATTTGGATGATGTCGAACTCATCCACTGAACGTCACTCATATTTATAATCCCAGCCAGAGGGAACGGCGGCCGTTCCACCATGTTTGATTTTAGCAGGGGGGATGCCACTCCCCTGGTAAAAAAGGTGGGGGGATGGCATTCCCCATGCCCCCCCCCCTGGAAAACATCACTGGTACTGTAGTTGCATCCCTACCAACAAAAGCTTGTTAAATTATTGACACTACTTACACTGGCACAGATAGTTCATTATTATATTAAATCACCAGTTTCTGCAATTTTCCATGAAGAAATTGTATTTTTTCCTGCATGCCCTTTAGCATGCCTTTTTTTTAACTGTTTACTAGTAGGGTGGGGTGGGAGATTTTATATCACATAGAAAAATCTCATGGGACCCCCCCCCCCTTTAGAATGCTCTTACTAATGTAGACCCTTTTAATATTTAAAAGTCAAAAAATGCCAAGGCAATTCCACCTGTATACCTTGAATTACAAACTACAACGTCTGTTCGTTTTTTTTTTGCTTAAATTTACAAACTACAGACTACTATTTATGTTTTAGACTGTCGCGTGATGACTGTCAAGTTTATTCTTTCATACAATAACAACAAATTGTCAAACGCCAGAATCTATATGCTCATTATAATATTTGCTTACACTATACTGAGGGTGGGAAAGGGTATTTTCGTGAGCCGTGAATGGTCAATATTTGTTCGCGTGAAATGTGAAATGCTTGATTTTAGTGTCGTGAAATGTGATTTGCTCTTCAGCCGTGAAGCGTGATTGTCGATAAAAATGCTCCGTGAAATGAGAATTAAGGATGTCTTCTGTTTCATGAATTGCGATTTTGCTATGTTTATTTCGATCTATTTCATAATAGTCCGAATAGACATGATACGCGATAATCAATTTGTACATGATCTCACTCGATTGCAGAAGAGTAAAACGTCGGAGGCCTTTTGGAGGTCGTCGGACATACTCGTCACTCAAACTTCTAAGTTATGATTTGTTATGATGTAGTTTTTAACTGACAGGTAGAGAAGCGAGAGAACTTAAAGCGTAGATACTGTACCATGCATTAAACATACTCTAAATAAACCTATTATTATTATATTATTTTATTAGAATCTAGTTTTCCGTGAAATTGCTTTTTTAAGACACGTGAATCGTGAAACGACTTTTTTTTTCGTTGTGAAACATGATCCATACCCCCTCTATACTAATTTCCTTATGTACTTTACTTCAATTACAACTGCCGACGTCAATGCCGAAGTAATTGCCGAAGGAATTTAAGGTGATTTCATTGCGTGCCTTGGCAAAAAAAATTGTCGAGGCAAACTCGAAATTATCGAAAGACTTTGGCGATTGTTTGACGAGGCAAAAATAGTTGAATTTCGAGGATTAGCGTTTTGGTTACTATGAATTACCCCTCAAAAACTAGATCCATGACCATGTTGTTTTCATTGAAAAGAGAGAAAATAGATCTTATGCCTTGGAATAAGCACGTGTTGGATATTTATGAAAAAGCCTCTAGACGATTAGTTTGATACAGCCTCAAATGGATATGCCGTGATACCCTAATATTGTTTGGGACAATTGTACATCATGCAGGGAATAGTGATTTACTCGAAAGCGTTCAATATATGTACGATGCTGCTAAAATTATTACAGGTGCAATTAAAGGCACCAGTGCTCGGAAATTACGTGAGGAACCAGCCTGGGTAAAGCTGAAAACCAGAAGAAAAATTCAGAAAATAATATTTTTCTATAAGTCTGTAAATAGAATGACTCCAGCTTATATTGGTAGATGAGAGATCGAATATTCGTTTGAGCTAGGTCAGCTACTGAAATTTCAGTGTAGAACGGAAATGTTTAAAACACCTTTCTTTTCTTCAGTTATAAATCAGTTAGATTCATTATCTGCTTTAAAGTGCCTATGACACGAAATTTCACCCCAAATGTTTATGATTGCATTGTAAAGATCACTTAAAATGACTTTCTTTTATAGAATTTTGGTGACTTGCTTCCTTTGCAAGATATTCAACTTTGTTTCATATGCAAATATCACCGGTGTGACATCACATCGCATAATGACATTTTGAAAACGCAATATTTTACCTTGATAAAATATTTTTAGAAACAAATACAGAGGGTTAATTACCAGTCATGAAATCAATACATATACAAGGGCATTTTTTAAGTTTTTTAGATACGTATTCGTCAAGAAAACTATACTTTTCTGAAAACTCATTAAGATATGTGATGTGATGTCACACCGGTGATATTTGCATATGAAACAAAGTTGAATATCTTGAAAAGGGAGCAAGTTACCAAAATTCTATAGAAAAAATTATCAAGTCATTTTAAGTGATCTTTACAATACAACCATAAACCTTTGGGGCCGGTGAAATTTCGTGTCATAGGCACTTTAAACATAGATTAAATAATTTATTACATCCATTAAGACTAAGCACAACCGTTTCTTTGATTTTTCATTAAGCAGACGAGCTCCTATTTTACATGCTAGATTACGTTTAGGTTGTTGTGCTCTTGATGACTATTTATTTTCTATTAATTGTGCAGTCTCTCCTATTTGTGTGTATTATCTACTTGAATGTCCCCGTTATATGCTACTCAGCGTGCGACTTTGCTTACCTCTGCTTTTTGGTCAATCGTGCAGGTTGCGGTGCAGCGACACTGTAAAGTTAAACTGTGTTTTAAATGGATCTGAAGTTTTGAGTTACGAAGAAAATTGTGTATTGTTTTCAATAGTTCAACTAAGTTCAACAATTTATGTTAAACATACAGTAGTCCCCCGCTAACTCGAACTCGCTTAACTCGAACTCCTCGCTAACTCGAACTAAATCCAATTCCCCTTGGATCTGACACTGTTTTTTATGGTAATTTACTCCGCTTAACTCGAACTCGCTTAACTCGAACTCCTCGCTAATTCGAAAAAAATTTTGTTTTCCCTTGGTCAAATTTATCCCGTTAACTCGAACTTTGTTTTCGAGTCGTGGACCGGCAAACCTTAAAATGTCAGAACATAGCATTTTGACAACCGGTAACTTGGATTTTTATTCAAATAACAACAATTTAATCGGTGTATAAATGATCATAAATTTTCCCCGAGCCGACGGCGCGAAGCGCCGTGCGAGGGTACTAATTCCCCCCGGCTATTTACACCCGGGGAAACGTGTAAGTTTAAAGCATTGAACTATAAATAAACTGGAAGGCTAACTGCTATGATGAAGGCCTATGATTTGATGAAGCCAAAATAGTTTTTCTGAGTTATGAGCAGAAATACTTGACCCCAAACGTCGGCCTATATATCAAATTGAAGCTATTGAAAATTTCTATTCGGTGTGGAAATTTCAAGACTTCAGCGAAAAGAAAAATCTTTAAAAAATACAAAAACAACTGCAAAACGGCAAATTATCGGTAATTATGTTTGTAGTTTTTCAATATTTCCTTTTTAGCTAAAGTCTTGAAATTTCTACACCAAATAGCGTTTTTCAATAGCTTCAATTTGATATATAGCCCAACGTTCAGTGTTGAGTATTTCTGCTCATAACTCAGAAAAACTAAAATGCACTGGCTTCAATTTCCCCCCCTGAGTTAGCCTTCCAGTTTATTTATAGTTCAATGGTTTAAAGTTCATCAAATATCGCGGGCGTGGGTCACCAAACGTGGGTGGTCATCCTCACTGATCTCAAAAATATGGCGGACTGTCATGAATAGCAAACACTGTGATTGGTTCAATTTAAACTTTGCATTATAACGACTGCATGACGACAACGAAATAGCAAACATTTCTTTATTTGATGATTGATAAATTTCTTGCAAATATATTTCATTTTTGCTCGCATTTTTCACAAGATTTTGTAAATTTCAAGAAAGAAATGGCGAAAGAATCGCCTAAAAAAAGGGAGCCCACGTTAACGAAGGTAAGTTTGTTTTAAATATTGATTTTATAATTGCTTTAAAACCCGATGGCCTTTGCGTATATGAAACAACTAAACAGACTAAACAAGACAGCTTATCGGGCCCCATTTCAGTGTATCTTTATTGCAAACTCAAAGTTTATCGATAAAGCCATTTAATTAAAGAATAAAGGCAGTTTAGTTTTATAAAGAACACTTTAAAACGTTTTGCGAAGCGTTTGTGGTTGAATTTTACCTTAAATTGAAGTTTATTTTACGTATAATATCATACCTAACATATATATGGTGGGAAATTGACAATTTTGTAATTAAAAGTGATATTTTTAAGCGATTTTTCATTTGTAAGAATATTCTTAAAAATTATCGTGTTCAGTGCTTCCACTTTGGCAAAGCAAAATTTCTCGTTTTTGTCCTTTTTTTTCGCAAAATTTCCTTCCCAAAATTCTAAATTCCCTCCATTTTTCCTTCCAATGTCAGTTTAAAATAGTATAGAAAATTTTGTATTGTACTGTACTCCCGATGTAAATTGAAGGTGTACTGCAGTATTCAAATAGTGAATCTCTAATTTAACCTGAAAAAACATGTTCTGTTGTCTCATTTTTTGTCTGTTTTCTCGAACGACATAGTACTTGAACGACTTTTTTATGAATTTGCTTTGGGACAAGGCACTTGTCCTGCACGCTTTCTACACCGTTTGCATTTGAAAAGTACTTGAAGCTTCATCTTCTGATGAGCTTGACTCGATGTCGACTCAATATGAGCCATCATAATTTATAAATTACTTTTTTTGGTTTACAAATTTACAGTTTCCCTTTTTCCGACTGTTTATTGTTCTTTAATTTTGGGATATAAAAATTAAAAACCCGCGAAAAAATTGAGCCCCCGTTATTTATGTACAAGTACTCTACTCACTTACTCACTGAAGACCTGTTAAGTCCCGAATTACCCCCATTCACCCTTGATGGTTATTTAAATATCCGGAGTATTATTTTTATAAATGTTTTTGAACTCAAAAGTTCATAATAAAGTGTTTAATCATTATTAAATTACTAGAAATTACTGAAAAAGTTCAAATTGTAAAATTTCCTTCCTTTTTCCTTCGAAATGGCCGAATTTCCTTCCAATTTCCTTCCAAATCTTATTTCCTTTTATTTTTCCTTCCAAATGCCAAAATATCCTTTTGGAAGGAAATTTCCTTCCGAGTGGAAGCTCTGATCGTGTTACCATGGCAACTACTTTAGATACTTCATGTTCGGAAAATACAATGGTTTTGTCAGCAAGGCGAGGGTTTCTGCATGCATGTATTTTCTAGTAGGAGATTATACACATAGTTGCGACGATTGTTATTGATCTAATTTTTTTAGTTCCTTTTGTAAATTTCTACATATTTTTCATGTCCAAAGAACTTTAGTTTGCATGGAAATTGCATGCCTCCTCCATCACCCAAGTTAAAAAGATACTGACTATAAAGAACTTTAGTTATAGGAATGCACAATTAAACCTTTTGTAATTTTTATGAACAGTATAATAAAACTTTTATACCTTATTAATTATTAACATAATAAACGAAATCTGACACCAAGTCCGGTTAATTCGAACCCCCGCTAACTCGAACAATTTTTCATTCCCCTTGGGAGTTCGAGTTAGCGGGGTTCTACTGTATTCATGTGGTTTTTTTTGGGTTTTTTATGCAAGAGTTATATTTTGAGGAATTTATATCATTTGATGCTTTGTTTTTTTTATACATGAGCATCTGAAATTCTCAGCCAGTGCTTTTCACGATTTTAATAAGGAGTAGATATATAGGGAAAAAAACAAACTTTTGCAAAATAAAATGTTATGTTAACACTTTTAATAAAAGGAAATCAATAAAAGTGATCGCTTACCGTTATTCTACAATAATTTATTGAACAAAATTTCCATGGGTATCTCATTTTTAAAAAAAAAGCGATTTTCACCTTTCGAACGGCGTTTTCCCTATCTTTTGCTATGGAATTTCAGCGACGGCACTGGCTGGAAGATTTTGCGTGGCGCGTGGAACGCGTGACACAAAAATTCAGGTTATCGAGTGTCAGTTTCTTCTCTGTATATCTCTTCTCTGTGACTTTATGCAGTGACCGCGGAGCCTGTTTTTAAACAGGTTTTTAAAAAAGTGGGAGTGGGGGCAGGATAGCACGGGAGCTATATTCCACGCAGGCAGGCTGGATTTTATCCAGTAATTTTTTATTATCCACCGAAAAAGTGGGGGGGGGGGCATAGCCCCCTGTTCCGCGGTCCCCGTTATGTGGACCTTTTACATTATCGAAATTCTAAACGGGCTTCAGCGCCTGTATCATTCTATCAATCTAGACCCAGACTGACTCCTATGAGACTAAGGCGGCCATGGTACAATTTTAACTTCCGATTAGCCACTATACTAGTAAAGTATAGTGAACATGCTAGGATAATATTTCTAACTTGGTCAAAAACGTCAGGTATCAGTTACATTCCTCTTCCTCAATGAACTATGTCCCTGATGCGCATGAGTTTACCGATATGTCAACAATTCTAAGGGGCTTTTTATATGGTCCCACCGCTTACCCGGGATTCATGAAGTGTGACGTATTTTGAGCAATTGAAATAAGTCGCACTTCAATGACATTCCATGTTTTAAGGCCCATACAGACCGAACGCGATTCGACAACGCGACGCGAATTTTCAGTTTTTAAAAACAAATAAAACCGTCAACCGATAAAACTTGTACAAGATATGCAGACCAAATAGCTAAAATTGCTTAAGTGGTTCCGAATATTTGAAAAACATAGAAAAATATTAAAGTTAAATGTCATTGAAAATTCGGAAAATTCGCGTCGCGTTGCCAAATCGCGTCCAGTTTGTATGGACCTTTAGACAAAAAAACCAACAAGTGTTAAATGCTATTAATCGTCTTCTTCCACTACATAACTTCGAGCGTGTTCCTAATTTCGTTTAAACAATATTTAAAGTTATCTCACTTTTGTTTAGGGCTGAAACACGCATTTCAATTGCTCAAAATACGTCACACTTCATTGCATCCCGGGTATAAGTGGGACCATATAAACAGCCCCCTAAGACAGTAGCATTAATAGTTATCTTTAATCTAAACCGCCAACAATAACAAGACATACAATCAATTACTTCTGGCCAATATATATATGCATAGAAATTGATTATTGTTTCGAAATGGATTAGAGTATGTCGTCGATTGTAGACTGTATTCACTTCAATCCAATATGCCGAACAATAGCGCCGGGCTAACATGCAGTTTATTACCTTCGCTGCGTTGCTAACGTAAGTTCGTAAATATTTTAATGCAGGATTAAAATCTGCTCTGTTACACGAAGTCAAGATTTTTCAACAAAGTAACATGCATATGAGTTGTCTAATTATTTTAATAGCCTTAGCTGCGTCGGTTCTGTTGGTTCCAGATGTATTAGTCGAAGCCGAAGGTAAGAATCCTTTCAATTCATCGTCACTGTCTGAACATCGAGTATCGACCTATTTACGTACAGATCCTCATGGAAAATAATCCAGACAGTGCAGTATAATATGTTGTGCCGTGTTGTTTTGTGTTAGAACTACCTCACAAAGTCTTAGATCGACGTTTCAAACGACGGTCATGCATTCGCAAAAGGGGTTATCATAAACATCTTGCATGGTTATTGTCAAAATACATACTGTATAATAATGTGATTGAGTAACACATTTAGGGAGTGGTCATTATTTATGGGGAGGGGGTTGGAAAATGAGGGGGAATCGAAGGTTTACCCTTATAAATATGGAGGGGGGGTCAAAAAAGTTTTAACCCATGCAGAGAAAGAGGGGTCAAAAAAGTTTTTGAACTTAAATACCATGTCTAGAGTTCTGTTAGTTCTATAATCACAAATAACATAGACTCACAAATCATAATGCCAAAGAGGTAAAGAAGACCCTGAAAATGCCATTTTCCAACGATCTAGAGACTCAAAATTTTCACAATTTCACTAAGTTTAACAAGCTTCCTACCCCCTGAGTGACCCAGTTGTGGTATTTACATAAACATACCATGCAAGTACTTAACTGATCAGATTCAGTCTATCAAAACACAATGTAACGCTGTATATCCAAAACTCTGTTTCAGAAAATGCTCACATTTCAATCTTAGGGGTGGAAAAATACAAAACATCTTCTGGGGGAGAATACCCCAGACCCCCCTACTAGTACATACGATACCACACCAAACATTTTGTCACCAACAACCATCTGTCATCTCTCCACACTCAGTATAGTATGGTCCCTTTTTGTAGATGCCCCCAGACAAGTTCTTAAAAAAAGCCTTGTGTTCAAATAATTTCGCTGTATGAAGACGGGCCATGGGTTAGGGTTATGGACGGACACTGATGTTGGATTGCAAAGTAGTAACACATAATATGTATGTTTTAATCACATATGGGTTGAATCATATTCACCAGGGTAAAACATCATGAGCTAGATTAAACAGATTGTCCTAACACTTGCTTCATTGCTGTTAATTTTTCATCCACCCTGGGGGGGGGGGGGGGGGGG